AAAAAAAAAATGCCCAAATGTTTGAAGCACAAACAAATATATTGATGCCTCAGTGTAATATCCTCCCCAAAACAGCGGAATTAGCATTTTGTAAAGCTGTGTTACCTTGGCGGCTGAATTTGGAGTTTCTCAAAGACTTTTGGGTAAAGCACTGGAAAAAGCACCATCTCTTTTAGGGCTGCAATGTGGTCGGAAAGACCACCCACCCCATCAAATCGCACCTAAAGATCAATTCAACAGAATAATTTCACACATTAAAGAAAGCTGCAGCCTACAAAAGGTTCCTGCCCCTCTACTCAGCCCTGGTGAGGCCGCATCTGGAGTATTGTGTCCAGTTCTGGGCTCCACAGTATAAGAGGGATGTGGAGAGAGTCCAGCGCAGGGCTACAAGGATGATCAGGGGCCTGGAACATCTGCCCTATGAGGAGAGGCTGAGTGAGCTGGGCCTGTTCAGCCTGGAGAAGAGAAGGCTGAGAGGGGATCTAATCAGTGTATATAAATACCTCAAGGGAGGGAGTGCAGAGGACGGTGATGGTCTCTTTTCACTGGTGGCAGTGGTTTCTTAACAGTGAGGGTGACAGAGCACTGGAACAGGCTGCCCAGAGAGGTTGTGGAGTCTCCTTCTCTGGAGATCTTCAAAACCCGCTTGGATGCAGTCCTGTGCCACGTGCTTTAGGTGTCCCTGCGTATGCAGGGGGGTTGGACTAGATGATCTCTAGAGGTCCCTTCCAACCCTAAGCATTCTATGATTCTATGATTCTATGATTCTAACATAACTCCCCTGAACTGTGTGGCAGTAGAATACCTCAAAATCAGGTGGGGTTCATCTGCGTGTCCCCGACCCCATCCTGCAGGCCTAGAGCTTGGTGGCTTTTCCATCTCCTTCTGAGGAAGAACTTCTTTACTGTGAGGGTCACAGAGCCCTGGAACAGGCTGCCCAGAGAGGTTGTGGAGTCTCCTTCTCTGGAGATCTTCCAAACCCACCTGGATGCCACCCTGTGCCACATGCTCTAGGTGTCCCTGCTGGAGCAGGGGGGTTGGACTAGATGGTTTCTAGAGGTCCCTTCCAGCCTCAACCATCCTGTGATTCTGTGATGGCGGTTTGCCGAACCCCCATTACACAAATGTGTAGTGTCATGTACCTTTTAATGCCTGTCTCTGTGCCTTGCTGCTTTTCTCCTTACTTCTCCTCATCTTACCCATTTCTCTCTTCCCTCAGTTGCTCTTTTCTCACTGCCTCTTGTTTCTACATCTTTTTTCTCTCTGAACTTGCACATACTGAATGCCACCAGTGACTTTGGGAAGTGCCTGTATTGTACACTGCGTTACCGGTGCAGGAAGGATTTCCCCCAATCTTCATCTTTTACTTCAGAGAAAAGCAGCCCCCTAACTTTCCAGCACACAGAAACACAGGTCGCTGCAGCTGATGCCTGTGCAGGCCGCGGCGGGTGCACACGATGGGCACCAGCGCCCTCTGAACTGCAGCAAGAGGCAGCAGCAGCAAAATGAAATTTTCCCCTTGCCGTGCCGGCCTGTGGCTGAGCTAGGTGAAGCACTGGGCGTTTCCTTCACATCCTCTCCGGTTGGATGAAGCCTGCGTTCCGAAGGGTGGGAAGTGCTGGTGTCTTTCCAGAGCTGCTGAGG